CCCCGGCCCCGGTAAATCAAATCTTTCCGAGGCTGCTGAGAACTCGCCCCCTTCTTTTCTGCTCCGCGGCGGGACACCGCTCCCAGCGAAACCCCAAACTCCCTGGAAAATCCTCCCCATCTCCATCGCGTCCCTCGGGCGCTCGGGGAATGACAGGACTGCAGTGATTTAGCAGAGGGAAAGGGTTTTGGTGGAGCAGCTCATCCTTTCTGCATCTCTGCCCCCTCCCAGAGAACCGGCCGGGATGGGGCTGACTTCAGGCGGAGCGATGCTGGAAGCAGATGTGGGGTGGGTTTGGTTGTTTGTTTTTTTTTGGAGAGGGGGGAAGAATAAAGGGACTGCATCGCACCGCCGGGATGGAGAGCGGAGCGGAGCGGGTGTGAAGTTGGTGGGTGGAAAAAGGGCACGGAGCTGATCGCGTTGCTTTCTTCCCTTAAAAATACAGCCTGAATCCAGACCTGCTCAGCTCCCCGCCAGTTGGGGAGAGACGGCGTTTTTTCGTGTATTTTTCAACCTTTTTCACGGTGATTTCATCCCGGGGTCTTCCCTGTTTCCCCCCCCTCCCCATGCCGTGAGCGAATCCATTCATCGCGAGCTTTCACCCACGAGCAGGCGGTTGGGAAAATTTCGGTAGTAAAACTCCTGCCCAGAAACCCCCTGTGATTCAGTGGGGAGGGGGGGGGGAAAATACCTCATTTTCATACTATTGGGTTGAAAAAGAGAAAACGTTCGGCTGCAAAAGGACCGTAGCCGCGATCGAGCAACTCTTGCCGGTGGGTTTCCCCCCGGAGAGGAGAGAAGGGGATGAGCCGGCGTTGAGCGGCATCCCTGAGGCGCTCGGGGTGAGCGCGCGATGCTCGAGGAGCCGCCGGGGACACTCGGAGCGGCTTTTCGGGAGGAAGGACCCAACCAGGACAAGCCTCCTCCATCCAACTGAATCTCTGCTTCTGAATTTACGGCGTGGAGTCCTGGGCTGAAAAACAAAAATAATCGCGGGGCTGATGTCTGGGTTTGGGGGTCTCCATCGAGGTGGGATGGGGTATCTCCCATTGGTCCCTTGGGAGAGAAATTGGCCCCTCAGGGTGGAAATTCGTGGCCGGAGGGGAAAAGCTTTCGCGTGCCTGGCTGCGGCGAAGAGGAGCGCGGCCACGTGGGAGGAAGGCACGCTGGTTTATCCCGGGTTTAACTTCCTCCGGCATCTCCTGGGTCAGCTCGTTTCCAGTAAACGGTTGGGTTTCCCACTCGCATCGCTCGCCACGACCGGCCCCGACCTGTCTCGGCGGCGTAGCATCACCCGCGCCGCATCCCCCCCCCGCGCCCCAGCGTGGACCACGTGCCGACAAGACAGACATATGCCCGGAGCTGGTTTAAATCCCGACATCCTCAGGGGAAAAAAAAGGGGGAGGAAAAAAAGCCGCAGGGCAGCAAACAACCCCTGCAAATTCGGTTGCCACATCAGGGACGGGAAAAACAGGTTGGACAAAGAGGAAAGAGGGGTGAAGGCGGCCGCGAGCGAGACGGGTGGGTGGCACGGTTTCGGGCAGCCCAGCTCGACACGCG